TCGGGGCAGGAAATGTTCCAGAATGAATTAATTCCTATTTTATTATTTAAATATTCGCGCTTTGTCTCAAATCGCTTACTTAAAACTTTGGCCCACACATGCGCTTCGTCTGACTGTAAGACAAGTGAAACGCCGTTGGACGAAGAGTACTACAGAAATTGCCGCGACGAACGCTTTGTGGTGTGTATGTGCCGTTAAATCCGCTATTATAAATCCTGTATAATAAACGTTGTTATATAAATTGTGTAACCGGGCCCGGTCTTGGCTACTGGACTAATACTACCACCTACTTCATCCGACGAACCATATGATGCAGCACAGAAGGTAAGCGCGTTTGAGACACGTTTATCTTATTTTTTTCGACTGTTACAATCAGCCCCTTTTTTACGTAATATTCCAATCATTCTATTACATTATCAGTGCAGTCAACATATATGTCTTTCAAAGTGCGTCATATTTTTTACGAAAAGTTTGTATTAACGTTACTTTTTTTTTGTCAAAGTGTATATATTTTATTTTTATTTGGAACAAGCATAGATCCTTTTCGCAAAAAGAGTTAGAGGCACTGTTACTCGATGAATCAGACGACAATAGTTTGTCTTTTGATAAAAAACAAAGTAGTGACTCAAAATCTGACGAGAACTTGGAGCTTCTTGGAGCTTGGAACTTCTAGTCCATCTGAATATGAATTTGACCCAGATGACGCCGAAATTATAAGCAGCGATTTAAAATGGTCATAGTATGCCGAAAAGAAGCAGAAAAATTGCTGTAGGGAAAAAAATAAAAACAAACTTCTAATAACGAAAGTAAAGATGTAGAAGAAGAAATAAATCAAGCTGTTCAGCAATGTGCAAATGTTCCTGTTGATGATATGCAAGTAAATATATTAAGCAACGTAGACAAAATCGAAGATGAATAAGAAGTTTTATTGGAAAACACACATATAGTTTCCAAAATACGTAAGCGTGTATTAAAAAAAAATATTCTTCACATTGTATCAGATCCATCTGGAGCTGTACGATACACTAACTCACCTTTAGCAGCATTTCGTAGCTTTATAGATGATTTAATATTTGAACAAAATTTGACACATGCAAATGAGCATGTCGCAATAAGTTCTAGAAAGTATAAAGTAGCAAAATCCAGTGTTTCTTCTATCACTAGAAAAGAACTTGACGCCCTAGTTGGTCTACTTATATTTGCTGGTGTCCAAAAAGATATTCATCTGAGTACAAGAGAAATATTTGACTCCAAAATGTCAGGTTTTATTTACAGAGCAACAATGAGTTATGAAAGATTTGAATTTTTGTTAGATAACTTGCGGTTCGACGACAAAACGACGCAAGATGAAAGAAGGGTACTACATAGATTTGCGCCAATACGAAAAATCTGGGAGCAGTTTATTTTTAATTGCAATGTATCACATAAGCCCGGTAGCTACGTAACAATCGATGAGCAATTATTATAATTTAGTGGTCGTTGTCCGTTAACCATCAAAATACGGGGATAAAGATCATTATGACTTGTGATGTAGCTACAAAATATATGTTTGATGCTCAACCATACCTTGGTAAACATACAAACACTAATGGAATCCCATTGGGTAAGTATTACGTAAAAAAGTTTACCAAAACAATACATGGAAATAACCGTAACATCACAATGGATAATTGGTTTACTTTCATCACTTTGGCTGACCAGCTCTCACAGCCTCCTTATAACCGGACAATAATAGGAACCTTGCATCAGAACAAGCGTGAAGTGCCAGCAGAAATGATTAATATCAAAGACAGGCAAGTTGGCAGCTTAATATTTAGTTTTAATAAAAAAAATGTTGGTATCTCATAAAATAAAGAAAAATAAAAGTAATTTGGTATTATCTACTATGCATAAACTAAAAAACCGGAGATAATTTTACACTATAATGAAACAAAAGAAGGTGTAAATACTTCTGATTAAATGTATGAACACAGGAGCTATAACAAAAAGACACGAAGGTGTATGTTTTATGGTGTGCTCAATATGGGATGTATAAATGTATGGATTATTTTTAATCACTATTTACAACAAATGGGACAAAAACTCTCAATAGAAAATAATTTATAATTAAACTTCTAGAGCAACTTACGAGGCCGTGGCTAAAGCAGCGTTTTAGACTGCCAACTTTGCAACGTTCACTTAAAGTTTTAATTAGTGAAATTCTCGATATTCCGCTTCAAGAACTTCAACAGGAACCTCCTGCAGCCAAACGAACCACTTGTAGTCCAATCATTATAGTAAGTTCACCTCGGAATTTGAGATACCCAGCTGTAAGTCTGTAAATACTTGTATATTGACACCCTAAAAGTTGTCTCAAAACCTACATATAGTAGGGTATACGCATCTATTAAATTTCAAGGTCAAAGGTCACAAAAATCGGTTTTTTGCGCTTTTTTTTGTAAATATCTCATTTCCTATGGGTTTTTTGCTATTTGTATTTATTATCAATATTGTAGAATACAAAATTCTCTAAAAATTTTGTTTAAAAAACGGTGAACCGTTTTCGAGATAGATGACGGAGAACGCGCGGTCACAGCATCACTTCAGGTCAACCGGTGCCTCCGGTCGAAAACGCGCCATATATAGTTGATGAAATATCGATAAATCAATGATTATAAATATTTGTCAATTTTTATTAACTATTATATTATATTTTATCATTTTTTTTCCTAACCTATCCACTTTTTATTTAGTATTAATTTATTTAACAACACTTACCTGCCCATGTAATTGCAAAATTGTTAATGAAAATATAGGAATTATATTTGAATTTTAACCTAATTAATATTAATAAATTCTTACATGATGAAAAAAAAAAACAAATAAATTATGAATTAATCTTTTTATTAAAAAATTTCATTCAATACATTTATTTTTATTAAAAGTAAAAAAATGGAATAAAAGGTACAAAAACTACAATTTATAATTTTAATAATCTTCTTCCTCTTCATCGTCGTCTTCCGGCTGCTGGTAAATTTCAAACTGGTCTTCAATATCGTCTTCAACGACATTTCTCTCAAGTTCTTCCATGATTTCGGGGTCAAAGGTTCCATCTTCGTTAATGTCCCTCTGATATGGTAGAGCATTGAAACAAGCTTGCCCATTACATTGGCCACAAGCTAAAGAGCATTGCAAGCCCGCTTTCCTGCATCAGCATCGCGAACCACAACCACTCTTGCAGTTGCAGAAAATTGTATTTAGCAAATCTTCTGGAGCAGGTGGTAAAATTGTCATGATAGGCTCCAGAAAATCGTTTCGCATTGCCCAACTCCATACCTGGGGTTCCAAATCATGCCTTAACCAAGTTTGAACTTAATAATATACACGTTTGAAAGGTTGATGAGCAGCTGCTTTTGTTGGTGGAATATTTGAAAGCTGCACAGGTTAATTAAGTTTTGTAGACTTGACGTAATGCATATAACGAAGATGATCGAGACTTTTCACAGATTTCGGAGCATTATAGACTGCCAATAAGATTTGAGTTCCACTATCTAATAATCTCTGGGCCGAACAATTTACTTTCTCAAATGCTGCAGCTAGTTCATTCAAATTTGTCAGTTTCTCAAAAACTTTAAAAAATGATTTTTTCCCTTTTTAAAAAGCGCAGAAGTTGTGTCACAGCCACTTAATGCGTGCAGAAATAAAATATGTGTTTTGGAATGAGGATAATTATCAAAACTTTTAGTCAAGTATATCCCCGTTTTTACATTTCCTTTCCCAACTTTTTTAAAGAAAATGTCTTGTTCGTAAGACAGTGTACGCCCAATTAAAATGACAAGTAAATCAATATCTTGTCCTATTATAACTGCAGTTTTTTCAGAATTTGATTCTTCAATTGCAGTTTCAACAATAAGAACATCAGCATTATCTCTGGCTTGTTTAGTAGTAATATTTGCAGCTTGTAATTTTTCAATTAACATATTAATGAGCATATCTTTGTTATTTCGATTTGATAAGAATTTTTCTTGAGTAACTGGTACAACTATTGTTTCATCTTCTCTGCTGCTCCATAGCTTTTACGTTCTTACTGTAATCTGAATTTTTTTAAACAAAATTTGTAGAGAATTTTGTATTCTACAATATTGATAATAAATACAAATAGCAAAAAACCCATAAAAACTGAGATATTTACAAAAAAGCGCAAAAAACCGATTTTTGTGACATTTGACCTTGAAATTTAATAGTTGCGTACACCCTACCATATGTAGGTTTTGAAATAACTTTTAACGTGTCCATATACAAGTATTTACAGACTTACAGCTGGGTATCTCTAGTTCCGAGATTCTTACCTAATTTAAGCTTAAATGACTGGACTATTGTTATATTTGTCCTTCAAAAAAACGACGAATGACGTCAATAAATTGTAAGCATGGTCAACGTGCGTTCTGCGCAGAGCATCGCGAACGCTGTTGTGTTAATTGCTTTAATAAAGACTAAAAAGTGATTTTTGTCGTTGAAATTACATTTCTTGTACCTTAAACAAAACACTTGTCTAAATCACCATAATAAAAAAATTGCTAATTTTAATTTAAAAAAAAAATCGTAAATTTTACGAATGGTTAGTGTTTAAAGTATAATAAGGATAAGGTTAGTAATCTAGGGTTAATAGGAAAAAGATTAACGCGATTTTAGTCGGTATCTTAGATTATTGCGACATTAACTATAAAATAATCAACAGAACGAAAATAATATCAGATTTTGCACAGGAATTTATTTTGTATAAAATCGTATATAAATCTTAGTAGAAAGTTTATTTATGCCTCGAGATAAAGTCTCGGTAAACTTACTTTCTCTCATTACAGTAATGCAATACTTTTTAAATAATGTACTATTAAATACTGAGTTTATACATTCTCATAAATAGTTCTTCGAAAATAAAGTTTAGGTAAACTTGTAAATATTGTTTTAGATGACAACGTAATAACCAATTTTTTATTGATGAATAAATTTAACGTTAGCAACTGCAAGCAAAAAATTGAAATGTATTATGCGATACGAAAAATATTACCTGAATTTTTTCAAAACAAAAATCCTTGTTCTCCTCGTATGCAAGAGGCTGCAGATAAAATGTGAGTAGAATAATTTTAGCATACATATCCAATCTCGTATCCTCTAGGTGCCGTTGTGTATGTACAGTGTGACCCACTTTATAACAAGATTAATTATTTTGTAAATGCAATATTTCTAAATGTCTTTTACATAGATTTTAGATAAATTTTAAGAATTGGCAATATGATCAAAAATTGATATTAAAAAATGTATTTAATATATTAAGGAATTCTATTGACAGTTTTTAGAATATGTTTAAAATCTACGGTAACGATATACAAGTATTTTATACATGAAATTCTTAGAAACTCAAACATTCTGTAAAGCAGGAAAATATTATTTTTTTTAAGGTATTTTATTCCACTTCCAAAAGTTACAAAGGAAGGATACAGGGTTTCTATAGTTAAATTTGTTGACGACAACCCAAAAAATTTTCAAGTATACGATTTCTATGCTCATACTTACAATGTAACCGAAATAAGATTGCACGAAGACGTTACTGTAGGCGATATCCTCGTTTACGATTTCAGCGGCTTAAAAGTGGGACATTTTTTCAAATTAACACCAGTAATTTTGAAGAAAACCTCTATAATTCTAGAGGTAAGTATATATTTTGGCCACTTAGATGCATAACTAGCCTAAGTCTATTTTTTATATTTTGAATTTGTCTGTCCATTGGATAGTAAACTTTTGTAAATAAGTTTTTACATGTAGCGCTCATATCGGCCAGAACGCAAACTAACGAACATGTATAGCCATTAGCATAATTAGACATAGACTAGTTAGGAACAATTAGTTTTGGGACAATACAAAACTAACACACGACAAACCTCCTATAACTTACAATTCCCGATCCAAAACCACCATAATCCCTCAATAATGCCCATAGGGTAAGGAGTGAGGGCGGCTATAATTAGCATAACCAAAACAGATAAATATGGAACATATTACAGGCGAAGAAACCGCCTTAGGCCTCAATGGATACCATTCGGGCCACAGCTGTACTGTGTACAGTCTGTGTTTTTTGTGACGTTTTATGTTTACATATTGTACATATATTTTTTAAAAAATGAATAAAGATTTTAATTTAAATGAATAAATGAATAGTTAGGAACAACTATACACGGTGTTCCATCTCAGACAAACCACCCCGTATATTTCTTATCCCCTAGTAATTGGAAAAAATTCCCGAAACATGTTTAATGGTTTTCTTTGAAGGACTTCTTTTGACGTATATTTGAGGCTTGAACAAGCAACCCCCTATGAGATGGCGCTTCAACCCCTCAAAATTAAATAGGGAAGAGGGATTGAGTGATACTTCATTTGTAAGGTCTTGGAAGCCTTTTTACAACGGTGTATGAAAAAAATCACATTGTTAAAAAAATTAATTGTTTTATCATGCTTACAATCAAAAAAATCAAAACTGCGTTTTTAAATCAAATGTTTAAACTATCTTCCATTGACTTCCATTCAATAATGAATTCTCTCGAACTAATAAATAAAAAAAAATCAAAACATTTTCTTATCTTGCCTTCATTTTTTGTTCTTAGAAGGTGTTTATCACGTTCCTTCGATCATTTCATGTATTAAAAATCAATCTGTTGAGTTACTACTTTGCTGATTTGCTTACAATTTTTAAAATAAATTATGGTGTACACATTGTAAGAACGTGTTGAGCTGGTTAGCCTGTATCAAGGTCCATAAACTAGTTAGGTTGCATGGTAACAGCACTGACGAAGAGGGGTGAGAGGAGAACACGCGTCATCAAGCGTGCCGTTTGCCGAACGTATTGGGCTGTCGTATTAGTTTCGTGCATTTTGACCGTTTTGTTTACTCGCCGTAAGTTTGTAGTCCGAGTGAAGTGAGATATACATAAGGGAAGCTGCAACAAGTATGTGACGATAAAGTTGAAACTGAATGTAGTACATCCTCAAGTAGCACGGATTCTCATTTATCAAGTGGGAAGCAATCAGAGAAGGATGGGCTTGCATATATTACTGGTTATTTGGCCAAGAAGCACAAAGCAAAGCACCCTAACTTGGGAATGTACACGTATGAAACCAAAGAAAATACATCCGTTCACAATTATAGCATGTCCTCCTGGATTCAGAGTTTGTCGTTTGGAGGTTTAATTCAACAATCAGAACAGTGGTTGCAGCAAGTCACAGAAATGGATGAATACTTCCAAAGAATGCATAAAAACACGTTTAGTGATAAAAAGGAAATTGTCATAAAAACCACGCAGTATATATGTGACAATATTAAAGAGGTCTCCAGGGAACTTGTAAAATCGTTTTGCCGTCAAAGAATATTCATAAGAATTAAATTTCTCAATCTTGAAAATGAAGAAAGAAAATCAGAGAAAAGAAAGGCGTCTGAACCATGCAGGAAAATATTCAAAAATTTAAAAAAATTGTAAATTAAAATTTTTAGCAAAAACATTATTTTTCATGTTCCCCCTTTGTATTTCTTATATATGTATTTTTATGCTTAAATCCTAGCTTTCTTACGAATATAATATTGCCAGACTTGTGTAATGCTCTCACACATGTATAATGTATAACCAGAGTGTGTTGGTTTTTATTATCACTTTGACCCTTTTTTATGACATACAGGAGCTCAACCATTACCAAAAAATTACTTTTAGAAATAAAACATGCACAAAATTGTTGCTAACCATTTTATGACCACATCCCACATCAATCACTACGATGAATTTATTTTCAGAATTTATGAATCACGGCTAACGTAATTTTAAAACACCAAATCAATTAACTACTACTGATGTAGCCAAATACATTCTTATATTGTTTAATTTTCAAGTTTGATAATATAAAAGGTAGTAAACAGTGTAGATTTAACATTCTTAGCCCCCTTCTTTTTCAATATTATTTGGTGTATGTATTCGTTTGAAGCGGCACGCTAGGTGACGTAATTCCCACCGTTGAACGCGGCGCGCTGATTGGTCTAAAGTTACCATGCAACCTACTTAGTCCAGTAACCTTGAGCCTGTATTACCAAAATCAAAATGGTGCCCGAGCGTCTGCAAGGATATTTAACCCAAACCATCCTGAACGTAGCGTTCGCCATGAGTACGTTATGGAATTAATTTCAAAATTTGTTGAGACGGGTTCAGAATGGATACAAAAAAGGGCACCCATTGAAATTGTGAATGATGAAGGAGCAGCTGTGGCGGTATTGGGCTATTTCCAACTTATGACAAACACGCAATCTGTCTGAAAACTTTCTGCAGTTTCCGGTATTGGCCAATTTAACGTTTTCAAAATTTTACATAAAGACAAATTAAATCAGTACAAAATTAAATTAATTCATGATGCTTTGGATCGAAGGCAAGAGTTTTGCGAAATTATGGCCGAGCGTATCAACAATAACCCAAATTTCTTGTACAACGTTTGTTTTTCTGACGAATTCACTTTTTCACTTAATGGAGAGGTTAACCGGCATAACTGTAGAATTTGGAGCGATAGAAGCTCACACTCAATATCCGGAAAAGCTAAGCGTTTGGGTAGGAATTTTGGGAGACCACCTAATTGTACCTCTGTTTATTCCTGGTAATTTAAATGGCAAAATTTATCTTGAAATGCTAGAAAATGCGAATAATCCGTTAATAACAGAAAAATTAGAAAACGATCCTCTTCTAATTGAACAACAATTGCATTTTACAAGACGGACCTCCTCCTTACTACGTCGCACCAGTTCGCCAATACCCCTGGTCGTTGGATTGGAAGAAGAGGTCCTAGGGAGTGGCCTGATTGCTCTTCTGACCTAAACCCTCTGGACTTCTTCTTGTGGGGACATCTTAAGTCCAAGATTTTTGTGACTGGGAATTTGGACGAACTATGCCAACGAATTGTAAATGAGTTTCGTCAAATAACTCCAATTATGCTGGACCATGTTAGGGACGGTTTTTAGTCAAGATTGTATTATTTTATGGAAGTCAATAGAGGACAATTTGAACATTGGATTTAAAAACGCAGTTTTGATTTTTTTGATTGTAAGCATGATAAAACAATTAATTTTTTTTTAAGAATGTGATTTTTTTCATACACCGTTGTAAAGAGGCTTCCAAGACCTTACAAACGAAGTATCACTCAACCCCTATTTCCTATTTAATTTTAAGGAGTTGAAGCGACCCCTCATAGAGGGTTGCTCGTTTAAGCCTCAAATATACGTCAAAGGATGTCCCCCGAAGAAAATCATCCGATGTGTTTCAGGAAATTTTTCCAATTACTATGGGATAAGAAATATACGTCTCAATGGGAACAACCTGTATGGTGAAAAGATGTAGACCATTCATTTAAGGACACATGCTTATTCTATGAATAAATCTTGGATATAGGCTAGATCAGTTTGTGTCCAGTTTTTCTACACAACGTTGGTTTTTTCTTGTGAGCATAAAAGAAGGTAACTTATTCCAAATGGTCATATACTTTTCTGACAATAAAATTTTATAATATTAATTAAAGATAAAGATAAAAGGCTATCCTGTAAAATTAACATTTTGTAACTTAGGTTACCTACTTCTGTATCCAAGTGACGATATGCGTAAAAATAAATTTTGTACCCAGGTGAACAAAGTTAGTAAAACGCTAAGCGGGTTTTCAGTAGAAATATCCCAAGGATAGCGATAAATCGAAATATTTTTTTTTTCACTTACCTTGAGAAACGTGCTTGAGATATTATAAGTATGAATCACTGACCGAGGGCTATTCGGTCAGAAAATGTTTGGCACATTTTAACTCATTTATTTAATAAAAGGTAACTTACTAGTTACAGTCCATAAAGTCTTAACTGTATATTTCATAAATTGTTTGCTGTACAATAGGCTGGGCCGAAAATTGCAAAAAAAAATTGATATCTCGGTTGTTATAGTGAAAAAAAAAAAGTTGTAAAATAAGCTGATTTTTTCAAATTTCTTAAAAACGTTTTAGCCACGCCTCTTGGGGGTACGAAAAAAGTTTTTTTAACGTCACATTTTTGATGTGGTACAGTAAAAAAGCTGATAAATATTACCTCACTTAAGACAAAAAGAGTTTTTTTTTTGGTTCCTTTTAATGTTTAGCTACGCCCCATGAAAAAAATCAAAATATATAGCTTTTAGCTTGAAAAATGATGACTTATTTAAATCGAGCAACAAAATTGTATCATTTAGTCAACCCAAAACTCACCACGGAGAGGCAGCTGCATGTCGAGTTGCATCAGCTTTCCCACCCTTAAGTGTAAGCAATTATTTTATTTTTTCGCTTTTTTTAGCATTGAAGTAATTTTTCTTATTTTCAAACGAAGGTACATTTTCTCCTGCTTTTATTCTAACTCTAATAAAACCGTCTCTAGCAGAGTGTCCAGAAACTTTGCCAGACGCTTCTGTTACAATCTTCTTCTTCTGTTAGTTTTTTGGCCTCCACCCTCAAGGTATTTAGCAAGAGCAGGTATTTTAGCTTATATTACGGGAATATTCATTAAAGAACGTCTTTTCCATTGGTTTACTAATTTAAAAACATCAGGAGCTGGTATTCTACTAATTGGACCATAAACTTGAGAACGTGTTCTCTATCATATAATTTAATTTACCAGCTATATTCACTATATATCTTTTAAATGCAAATTCAAAAAATTTTAACACACAAATACTAAACACATCAGACAATATTCATTTCACGATGACCGATTTTGATAAAGATTTTATCGGAAACATACAAACTTGACTTCCAATTCTGAGACCGCCATATCGACGTTGACACCACGGCATCAGAATCGGAAGTCCCTGTTACAATCTTTATACATCGCTCAACGTCTTGGGTGTGACATGGTAATTTGCTAACATTAATAAAAGATTTATTCTCGATAGCTGCCAGCAAATCTTCACTTTTAATATTCATTTTAATTGTGGGCTCTGTGACGAAGAGTTCGTTCCAGTTAATTCGGTGTGCCAATTTATCGCAGGGATATCTCTCATCGAGAATCATAGCTACTAATATATTTTCTGGGTGGGCAAAGTAGGCGTTAGTTGTAATTACTTTATCAATATTTGTTTTTACTTCTTTAGGAAAGTCTCTTGATTTATTAATGAGTTTCTATAAATGTACGGAGCCATAATCAATGGAAGGTCGCGTTTTTATAATAAACTACATAGGAGTATACACTTTCATAATAAACTGGACGCACAGCAGTAGGTTTTGAGAAAGACTGCAAGTTGCAACATACAATTAAAGTATTTGGTTGGATGTAGTCAACTATCGTGCATGGTTGATTTTTCCAGGATTTCTTTTGGATAAAGCTTTAGAACAGAAACCATCTCTAATAGCGCAAAAAAATCTGATATAAATATTGTTGATCTGTACTTAAATCATTGTCATCAACTTCAGGTAATATTATATTAATTGATTGAAACTCTTGTACAAGTTTGGTTTCGCATGATGCCATTAATAATCCAATTGGCCCCGAAAACGAGTTCGGTTCTTTTGTTTGTCCATCTTATTGTTGGAGCAAGTGACGTAGGGGTAATTAGTTGGTATGAATCATAAAAATTATCCATTAGAGTGGTTTTTAAAATTGAATTTTAATTCTTCTACATACACTGTCTTTCCAGTCAGTGTTAACGTTGGTGCCATCACAGCCTAATACTTTAAGGTTTTTTGGATTGACGAAATTATCTTTCAAATAAGATAGGATATTTTTGGCGATGTTTCCAGCACACTCTGGTGGATTTATTGATATGTGATCAACATATTTACTTCCTGGCTCTTCAATTAAGGCTACATGTTCTTCTTGTTTAATAATACGACAGTCTTCAATTTGCATCAGTGTTTGATCTCTCCTGCCATCAAAGTAAATAGCTCCAATATCTTTTCTTTTCTCAGTAGCCGTTTCTTGTACTTGTTTCATTTTTTCTTTAATTCTCGGTGGATCTTATTTTTGTCCACTACGTTAACTGGGTTATCTGATGAAACTAGTCCAAGGCAGCTGTTGCAATTTTGGCTACTGTTCGGTTAGATGCACCCGTCATATCGGCGATTTGGCAACGAAACTCTCAGTTAGTTGGATTTTTTTAAAGTATTTTGTTTCTGTAGCTTTTGTAGAGGATATGACCACTTAAAGTCTCACCCAAGTCTTCTTCGCTAGATAAATTATCGTTTACACCTTCGGTAGATGAGCTAGAGTTAGACTTCTGACTAATTGTCGAAGGTATTGAAAGTTTTAGAAGACTTTCTTCCCTTTTTTAAATTTTTCGGTAATTACTTTATCAACCCCAGCTATTCACATTTTTCTGGCCTTCCTTTGATTCTTCAAGATATCTTATTCTAACAAGGGCACTTTGTAGAATTTTTCACACAGGCATCGAAACTACTTCATTTACAAGATTATATCTTAAAATTTTTCACTCTTTTTAAAATAAATGGCGATTTTCGTATTTTTAGGGGCTTTGTTAGATTGCGATGTTTTTCATGATATGCTAATATCATTGCTATTGCGCGTTTGGAACCAACAGTTAAAAGTAAAGCACGTTTACATGTAGCTCTTATTTTATTGGCAACTAGTTTTGCAACTTCCCATTTACGCGGCTGGTTGCTCGAATTTCCCTTAATGTGTTGTCTTATAAATAAATAACAACGAATCACATCTTCTTTAGTTGATAAACAAATTTCAGATTCCAAGTCGCAAGCAGTACCAAATGTCGGACAATTGTTTTCCTAGGTTTTACTTTATCCATTTTGTTTTTAAAACATATAAACACGAAAACGGAACACTGCGTGATGTCTGATTATCGACTTTGTATCCAAACTAACGTTTATTATACTTGATATTTACAATTAATATATTTATGACTTAAACAAAAGTATTTTTCTGTAACATTATACAATACACTACATGAAACTCACAACTCGTTCTAACCACGACTAAAGTCACACTGTCGTATTGTCGTTGCAACTTCCACAACACACCTCTAAACGAAGCGCGCCACGAGACAGTCACGTGACGAACAGACAAGAGTATTTTGCAAGGGCGTACTTAAGTACACTAACACGTGGTCAGTATCTAGTCGCGTCCAAAATAATACATTTCTTTAGGTTTTTCGTCATAAATAAATCAAAACAAATAAATTTTCAATTTAACTGGTTAAAAACGTAAAGTTTCGATATTTAATTTTTTAGGCACCAGGGGCGCAGCTAGATATTAAAATATTTTTACCAATTTTTTTTTCTGTTATAAGTGAGCTAATATCAATTAGTTTTTTGGTACGCCAAACGCAAAATATGATATCATAAACATTTTTTGTTAGGCCCACTGGGCACGACTAAATTTTTTAGTTGGGTGCTCCCCTCTACAGTGTGCTGTACTTATTGGTTTTTTATAATCTTGTGTTAAGTGTTTTCCAGCGCATTTGACACATCTGGGTTATCGTTTTGAGTATGCCCATATTCTTGGCATCGTTTACATTGTGGTAATAGTAAAAGTTTTTGGTGGGTTTCTATTGACACTCTTAAATTATGGTGGAGTAAGAGAAAACTATAAATCAGAAATGTCCATTTTTTAACTTTAAATATTCAAAATAACTAATAAACAACTTGCAATTTTTTAAACCCAATAACAGAATTAAATTAACATATATTTACCGGTGCTAAAATGAGCTATACTTTAATACTTAATTGGGTGAGTGGCTCAGTGGTAGAGACTCTGCCTGCGGATCCAAGGGTTCTAGGTTCGAATCCCACCATTGGTCGGGATTTTTTTATATAATTTAATTATTTAAAATTAATTTTGATGCCTTGGTAGGATTCCCCACTCGACCATTCACTGTTGGGTTCTAGTTAACAGTGCTGTTCCTAAAGTGGCACAGGGAAACAGTTACAAAGCCTACACAGAACACGAGGCGAAATAACCTTAGCAGTTGAAGCCGATGACACACAAAAAAAATAGCATAATAAATAACTATTAACAACTTGAAATTCTCGAATAATGTAAATTAAATTTTAGAAAGTATATAGTAACAGAGTAAAACAAATTCATATACTAAACAGCCCAAAGTATGCTTCTGCCACGATTTCTGTTACCAAACAAGTTATGAAGTCCAAAATGGCGGCTAGGGTACGTTCATATACTATAATTTAATTGTTTTTTTTTTATAAACGCTTTATTTTAGATTCATGTTCATAAAGGAAGCGAATCAATTTTTAAGTATATATCTTCAAAAATAATGCCTATTGATTATGGAGGCGAAGAAATTTGTTTGTCAGATCTTAATGGTAAGTATAACAACGGCCAAATTTGACAGATGTTTTGGTCGATTCTATATTTTTTTAAGAAATTACATGAACAAAGGATCCCGCACACCGCTTACGGAAAATTTTTGACATGTTGCAGTTCCCGATCTCTTAAGCAATAGTGTCTATGGGACCATTAAAATCCTATGACTGGTTTTCGAGATACAGGGTGTTAAACTTAAGAAATACCACAGGAGAAAGCTAATCGAATATAATTTTTTGTGCAAAATCTTATTGTTACATTTTTTGGCATTCTACGGATATAAAAAGGGGACAAAATTTCTTTTCTTTTACAGGGTGGGCCACAAATAAGTAACGACAAGTTTTTGATAAATGAGGAGCAAAATTTCATAAGGAATATTATCCAATTAATTCAGCTTCTGAGTAATAGGTGGCGATAGATGCTTTAATACTGCATCTATATGGTACCAAATCAAGGCGTTTCAATAAAAATTTAATCCCATATAAAATAAATGTCAAAAGATTGCAGTTTTTTCAAAAAGATTTTTATCCTAAGGTTTCTTTTCAAATGGAATTTTATTTTGTTTGTTGTTGTTTTCATTGAATATTGGTATAAATCAGCACGTTTATAAGTATCAGTGTCATAATAGGTTCTTGAGCAGTGTATTTAAAGAAAAAACATGGATTTAGATGGCGTGTTAGTTAGTGAAGGAAATGAAAGAAGTCGGAAAAGGAAGAAGAAAACAACAAAAAGGGAGGCAGCAAAGCAATTAAGGTAATTAGGACAACAACATAATTTTTAACCCTACTTTTTTATATTATATTTATTATTGTAGATATTTGGATCATTTTCCAAATTTGGAAACCTTTGAACGTCCTTGCATGCATAATGGACCCACGTATAAATGTTTTAAAATAACAAGACGTGACATAACTCTCGCAAGAAAAAAATTTTTAGAAATTCCCGATAAGCATGTTCAAGACAGAAAGTTAAGTTATTTGTGTAAAGTTTCAGAACCCAAGAGGTACAGGGAAAAATACAGGGCTAATTGCAGAAATCAAAAACACGTTTTATCAGCAAAATACAACATGGTTAGGGAAAATGGGAAAACCTACAGAGTGTGCCAAAAAATGATTTTAAAATGTTTTGGAATTACTTTAAAACGGTTACATACAATTACAAGAAATATAAGATTTGGATCTGACATAAAGGAGAGAAGAGGAGGAGACAGGCGTTCAAAAAAGAATGCTAGAGAAAGCCATTACAATCGACAAAAATCAAAACGATTGTATTTACCTGCCCATTTTAATATAAAGAAATTGTGGAAATTGTACAATGCCAGTGTTGCTGAAAGTTACAGGGTAAAATATTGTTTTTCTTTAATAAGATTTTTTCTGTTAATTTTAACATTGGCTTCGGGTCACCAGCTTAGGATGTTTGTAGTTTCTGCTTTAAAAAGAAAACTGAACTAAAAAATTGCACTGATGAATTGCAAAAAGTTAATTTGATGACAGAGTTAAGAATTCATAAATTAAGAGCAAAACAATTTCACGTATTGATGAACAAAAATGAAGAAAATAGTGAAGTCTTTTGTTTCGACCTACAGCAGGTTCAAAATCTGCCTGTTGGAGAAGCATATTACCTAAGGCAGCTTTCCTTTTATAATTTTTATATAACGGATGTTGCAACTTCGTCTCCTTTTTTTATACTTGGATTGAAACTCAAGCTGGTAGAGGAGCGAATGAAGTGAGCGATTACAAATTTTTTAAATTCGCATAATTTTTCTGATAATTGCAATACGAGTACCGTCAAACGGGGTTAAGTGAATCATAGTGGGTAAAATGAATCACTGGACACTTTTTGGAAAATCGGCAATGTTGTCATCGAAAGCTTTAAGTTTATTCCATGTGCCCATCAGAGTGTCGCTTCAGTGTACCTTTGGACGTAGTATCGAGTGTTTTGTTGCATTTAAGTAGACTGGTAAGTTACACGAAAAGTTTATGGGATCAACGATTTTTTGTTTATTTATGAAATATTAAAAACGACACAGTGTAGAACTCATTGTTTTGAAATTTAATTTGTTTAAATAAAATAAATATTTATTAGGTAGTTAGCAATATAATATTAATATATTTCATGTCGTTATATTTGTAGTAAAGTTGTCACTTTTTTTTAATAAAAAAAAGCTGGTAAAAGGGGTAAAGTGAATCACTCATGTTTTTGTAATATTTGGGTTGCATTGTATAAATTGTTTATTTTTATTCTGTCATATAATAAAATTGTGCTGTTTTTGTATTTTTATTAATATATTTTTTTAGTTTCAGCATGCCAAGGGTGTATAAAAAAAGTTGGGACCTCGAGGAAAATGTAATTATGATCCGGTGTTGTTGTCCGGGCATTGGCAGAGGTTCGACGCTGAATGTCTATAAGAGAAGCTTTAGAACAGTTTGGCGTTCCTTTTAGCACAATTCAAAGAAGTTATCATGGAAAAACCCCCTTAAAATATGGTCGGCAGACTGTACTAACTGAAGCTCAGGAAACTAGACCAAAGAAAACCCTAGTAATTTGTGCCGAGTGGGGATTTCCGTTAAAATGTACGGACGTTAGGACAATTGTGCAACAATATTTAAACGAAATTGGAATGACAGAAAAAAGATTTAAAGAGAATATGCCAGGAGTCGACTGGTTTAAAAGTTTTATGAGCAGACATAGAGACATAACTTTTAAATTGGCAGAAAATACGAAGCGCGTTAGAGGAGCTTTAACTTATGACGTTTTTTTGCTCTAAATTGATTCATTTTACCCATAGACATTTTAAAATGAGTTTTAATACAATTTAGATGCATGCTTCACTTTACCCCAAAGTAGAGGGTAAAATGAGTCACTCTTTAACAAAAAAATTTATATATTTCTGTTTTTTAAAAAAACATGATTTATCATTAGAACCACTCGTAATGAGTGTCACAACCTTCAATATTTTTTGTATATTTTTAGTTTCCTTATCTTTGGAGAAAAGATAAAAAAACCTGTTTTTTGATTCACTTAACCTCGTTTGACGGTACCTTACGTTTATTTGCAGACGGGTGTGCAGGGCAAAATAAAAATTCTTATGTCATGTATGCTCTGGCCCTTTGGCTGTCAAAAAGTGCTCCTGTAACATTAGAAGAAATTAGAGTTACGTTTCCGGTTAGAGGGCACTCCTTTTTGCCAGCAGATAGGGTGTTCGGACGTCTTGAAAAGAAGCTTAGAAAAATAGAAGTAATACTTAATGCTGAAGAGTAAATAAAAATTTATAAAGAAGTGATAACTGTCAAAGAGTTAGGAACAGATTGGACAATCAAAGATTTTTTAAGGCCCAGTTTGAAAAAGTTAAAAGGTATAAAAGACACAAAAAGAATAATATTAAGAAAGGATTCTAAGGGAGTTGTAAAAATAAAAATGGAATTATATTACAGAAACGACGACTTAACAAAAAGTTTCGAAATTTTAACAAAAAAAGGTAAAGTTTTAAAGGAGTTGAACGTCAAAGAAAAGGAATTAAAAAACCCAGTAGAGGAAGAAAAAATTAAAAATCTTAAAACATTGCTGTCATTGTTCGATGAAAATTGGCAGCAAGAAGAAAAGCTTTATTTTTTAAAGAATTGCTTTTAGATGAACCACTCCCAGATTCCTCCGTCAACCAAGATGATGAACCTTGTGATTGCAATGAGGATGATGGTGGTGTTTTTATTTAACACTTAAAATTAATATTTTTGTTTCCTTAAAATAATAAAATGTTTGATAGTGCTTTTTTTGTTTTGTAATTATTCCTCTTTCACATTCTTTCATAAAGATTTTTATCCTTAATTTTTAGTTCAAATAGATTATTTTTTTTCAAAAGGAATTTTATCCTAATTAATTAATTAATTAATCAAATTTGTAAATTAACTAAATTTCTAATTTTGACCATTTGGCTTTACAAAGGTTTGTATTACATATATCACTTTACCAATTTAATTTTCGTTAGTCAGTTTTGCACCAATTACAAAACGGCCCTTTTTTCCAATTCTTAAAAAAGGGATAATATTCTTTTTGAAATTTTGCTCCTCAAATACTTTTATTGTTCTAGATTGGTAAAATATTGAATAAAAATAAATTACTGCTATATTTATCATGTCTGATGATATTACAAAAGATATAAGGTGCCATTTTAGAACTGAAACGTATCAAAAGTTTATGACATTAAACTGGTCGCCACTGTTCCAAAAGCGGTGTGCGGGGTCCTTTAATTAAATCATTAAGTACTAATTACTACTAGCTGAAGTTTAATTGATGATTACTGAAGGAAAATATTAGCAGTTAATAAACTTGATCTGGGTAAAAAAAACGATGTGCTTTGGTAAATTAATATCTCCGAACTTTTATTCTAAACTGTACCGGAAAATAGTTTCAAATGCTCAGATCACCTGATCTAGATTTTTCTTATGAAGATATATAAAAAGTACGGTTTATAAAATCCGAATATATGAAAACACACATTAGAGATGAATTTGGTGTTATTAATTTAGATCTTTTTAGTAATTAAGGAAAAACAAATTGAAATGCAAATTTGAATGTCCATTGAAAATAATGGACATCATTTTGAACATTTACTGTAAATTTTAAACTTATCAAATTTTTGAAATAATATGTTTATTTAATGGCTTTGGCGGTAGTTTAAAACGGATTTACTCAAGACAGCTACCTCATATACTTTATAACTTTATAATCATTTATTTCTCTAGACCTGTATACATAGGTATTGAAAACGTCACATAAAATTTACAAACAAGACAAAAATGTAAAAGTAAAAACAAACTTATATATAATTCGTTACAAACAATACATTTAAAAAACTTAAGTAAAATTATAACAAAACATTTAAGTACAATTGCAGTGGAGGTATTCCTCAACACTATAAAAAGTGTGAGCTAGTAAGACCACTGTTACTCGGAGTTTTAAAGCTTTAACATGATTTATGCATTTTATATTATCCGGAAGT